CTCTCTCGCAATTGAGACTCTTCCCTGCCGTTCTGTTGAGCGATGTCTCTGTATAGACACCTTTTTCTTCTCTTTTTATTTTTGTTGAGAGGTGTTGTGAAGACGACCAGAGAACTTCCAGCAAGTGTATGCCTTCTATCGTAGGATAAATGGACGGATGGATGATACGGCCATGGATTTTGTATCGAGCGCTAGTTTGCGCCACCTAGCCTGTGAATGTTTACATGGAACGTGTCGTCCGGTTTTTGTCCTCTATGTTATTCTCCAAAAACACCATTACCAGCTCGCTTCATTTCCACGAGCGAACAATTTGTTTATGGCTAAATTTCCACCCCACCGAGTTTTGTGCATTGTGACGCTTGTACACCAACATTTAAGCCTTCTGTTTGTGATTGTAATCTTTTATTTTTTCCTTCTTTCATTTTCCTATCGAACCCCAGGCTCCCGCCAGATCCGTTAACTTCTTAAAGAGGTACGGAAACAAAATGGCGTGGCCGCGTGCTCTTCACTTCTCGCTTCAAAATCGGTCAGCGAGGAATGCAATGCGTATCGCGTTTGTGACGTTAATTGCCTTTACACGGTCAAATGTACTGTAGCTGTGAGCATGGCGGCTTGGTGGCGTCAACGCGTGTCAATCTTGCCTAGTACTAATATCCGAGGACTGTATAACCTATGGCTTATACGTATAGACGTTTTCAACACGCGCCAGATTGAGCCGCCATTGCCGAACCTTTCTTGTCTTACCGAAGTGCGGAGCCACTGAAGCGGGCGTTGACTATCCTCCACAAAGACCTATGCTGGAGAAAAGGACAGAGGAGCATCTAAAGTGGCAATAACCTGTCCTGCTTTGGAAGTGATGAACTGAAGCGAACGGAATCAAAGGAAACAAAAACTGAAGTTTGATTATGGCTGCGCCCACGCATACCTGCCTGAAAGCGTCTCTGCAGCTTGCCCGTAACGTTATTCGCGGCCATGCCGGTATTTTATGTTCCGTGAGTGTTCAGTTCAACTTGTTACTTATACACACCGCTAAAGTAGGAGCTCGAGGGAACCATGTAAGTAAAAATAATCGTCATTACCCACCAATGGCGACAACTGCAAGCTATGCATATAGGGTATTCACTAAGTGCTGTACTGGAGCGCGTTGAGACAGTCTGCATAGAGGTTCCAACGCGAGTCCCCGCGAGATCTGTGCTTCGAATGCCACATGGCAATGAGTTCAAGGAGAAAACTTGGCAGGCGGCATTCGAACCACAGATATTGCGGTGACTCGTTTTTGCATACTGTCTTTTGTATGTTGTGTGAGCAGTGCGACCCCGGCTTCAGGGAGAACAGGACAAAGCTTCCCTGCGCTTCAAGACCGCAAACAGCCCTTTCGCCGTTCATGTGTCAGCTAATAAAAAGTGACCTTAGAAAGCCGGAGTTACCGACTGCTGGAAGCATGCCGCGGATGTTTTATTTCATGCGAATGAAGTCAATGACGAGGCATGCCTTGCCAGACCGCAACACTAGGTTAAGCTATATATAAAACAAAAACGAAGTGAAACGCGAATACGGACACAGGTCATCTGTTCCCAGGCATTTTTAGCGCGTCGAAGGACAACATTAAAAACACTTACTACAATCCGCGACACCTTGTGTTTCCGCAGGTGTACCGCCACTGTCAGAGCGGTAAAATCCTAATTCAGGCACGTTCGTCAGTAACCCACTCGTACTTCTATGAGTAAAACGAGTGATCGCCAATCAACTTACATTTGCGCCAGGACTGTTGTATTCTTTTTTTTAACTGTTTTATGTGACCCCAGAATGATCATTTTGAACACAGTAGCGGAGGACTACAAATAAGTTTTCTCTGCGTAATATATTTTTTTGCTGCTTCGGCTGTTACAACTTATGCAACTGAAATATTGTCAATATTACTTTTCCCTCTTTGCAAAAAAAGGTACTTAGTATCAAAATTCAGTCACACATTTTCAATTTTTTACTTTTGTAAGGTGTCTGGTTCGGGTCTCCTTTATGTTACCATCCTCTTATACGTTTAATATCACCAACACGCTCTAATTGGTTGACTCACAAATGTTCTAGCGTCTCATTTTCAGAGTTCCTTGGAAAGCAATTATATCCGTTGTAGGCTAACAGCATCCCTCTAATAATATTTAGAAAAATAAGAGTATTTAGAAAATTATAGAAATTAAAGTGAAATTAAAGTCAATTTCTTTTCAATTACGCATTCACGTCAGTACGCAATAGGGCCTACGATTATCTGCCTCATTTTACCTCGTTTCTTTTGCCGCTTGCTCGCTTTCTCTTGTAAGCATCGGTGAACAAAATTGGCGGGTAAGCAAAGTGAGCTTGGTTCTCAAATTTAGTTGTTTAAAAAATGCTAACTTCATAATTTGGATTTTTTGTACAGTTCCGGGGGAATTTTTGTAGCTACTGCATGAGTGACTCATCATAGAACGTCAGCTGCGGATTGCGGGCACTGCGGGCGCGAACTCAGTCCGCCCTTAACGTGACGGTTCCACCAAGCAACACTCTTGTGTGTGATCTACGAAAAGTTCTTAATAACGTGACAAATACGCTCTAAAAAAAATCCGCTCTTGGTACGTTCTTTGACGATCTAAGTACTCTCTCAGCTCGTGAAGAACGGTTTCGCCTGAAGCACTATCGCCCCCTGGCGCGCTAGAACGGGTACAGAATCTTCGGCTCGCACAGTTTTTCTCATCCTAAAAAATTCCTTTTCAGCACCCACTAAAAGCTTTCTGCTTGAAAACCCTAAAAGTGGTTATATTTAAGCTCCTTCTTTGATGCGAAAGAGTTCTTCCTCGCCCATTTGCGCGCCAGGGGGTGACAGTGCTTGGGGCGAAACCGTTTTTCACGAGCAGCTGAAATGGTTCATAGGGCGTCAAAGACGTTTCAAGAACGGATTTCTTCTTCTTATGGTGTAAACATAGCTGCACTACTGATTCATGCAACGCGATAGAAAAAAACAATAATTGATCCTGTCCTCCGCACAGTGCGCGATATGTGCTTCTGGCGACCTTTCTCGAACTACCTCCCAGGAACCGAATAATACTCTTCGGGAGACACCTATTTGCCTTTCTGTGTGATACGATGCAGTGGCATTTGACTACACAACAATAACTAGTGGCCTGCCCTTTCGAGTTCGGTACGTTTCTTTACGAAGCGGGAGGCCAGCCCGACAAGCACGCCACCCTCCCGCGTCGTCTGTTCCTCGTCACCAGGGAGACGAGTGGCGCTGCGTATACCCGGCGGAACTTCAGCCACACAGCCCTGGGGCCGTAAACTTGTCAAAGACAAAGTTGGAACCGGAAGTTCGCGGAGCACGCCGATTGGACGTCGGCGAAAAAAGCGCGAAGCCATTGCCGTGATAGTCCAATCGCTGCGCTTCATGAACTTTGGCCCCGACTTTTGCGTTTGACGAGTTTAGAGTTCCAGTGCTCCGTTTCTTATTCTGTCCGACCTCATCCAGGTGCGCTATGAACCGAACGAGCCAACTACGTAGCGCCAAAAGTGCATCGTCATGGCGCTCCTGATTTTTCAGCGTTTGATGTTACTAATCTAAGCAATGACGCACAATGAAAATAAATTAATCGGTGCTTAGGTGTACGATGCAGCATAAATTTCCGTAAACTACGCGTGGGTGGCACAAGAAATGAATGCCCGTGCCGCAGAGGACGAGAGATCGGCCGAGGGGCCGAGCTCGCGTCCTCTGCCTCTGTCCAGAGCGGCGAGCTAAGATTGTGGAATCACGAGTGCCGGAGAAGCGTCTGTCGTCGTTTCAATTAAAGTCCCTTGATAGTTCATTATTTTACAATTAACGACAACCAATGCAAATGACAAAGCACGTTCCGCTGCAAGCAAACGGCGACATTCAGTTCAAACCTCTGCTGTGCGCCTCCATTCGCTTCCAAAAAACCTGCTTTGTGAGGGTAAAAGCGCTAAAAACAACGGACGAGTAAAAGAAACGAACAACATAGAGCGCCACGTATGAGGCCCCCAGTCCGGGGCCCCATACGCGGCGGCGATTGCTGGCCAGTGGCCTTGTCATCGGTCAGCCGCTCCTCCCAGGAGGTGGGGGTGGGACGGCGGGAATGAGCTGGCACTGCCAGACCATGTCGTCTGTATAACGAATGATCTGAGGAATCTTTGTCATGTATAATGCGAGAAATGCGCATTGGATCGCTTGCATGGTGTCTCCAAGTCGCTTAAGTTCATGCATGTTCCTTAAATGATCGATTCCAATACCGAGAAATAAGCGACTATTCGTCCGTCGGCGGCAGGGCGAGAAATTTTGTCGTTAAGAACGCCACCAGAAAAAATGGAAGCCATTTACAACTCCCTGTCATGCCGAATTAGAGCGCAGCTCTTGAAGAGGAGGGGGGAAAGGTACCGAAGGGAAGGTATATCCTTCCTCCCTCCTCCTCACCTCCTCATCTTCTGTGCTACTTCTCCCTCCGAGCTGCGGCGCCGTCGCCTCACGAGGGTCACGTGACCTCACGGGGGTCATGTGACACGTGATGATGACGTCATCGGTGACGTCACCAGTGACGTCAGAGGTAATGTCATCATCGCTAGTGGCGTCATCAGTGACAATGCAGATGCCGATGACGTCATCAGTGACGTCACTGATGACGTGATCAGGCACGATGACGATGCGGATGCCGATGATTTCATGAGTGACGTCACGCGTCCCATAATGCACCGCGCGGTTACGCCGACGGCGACGGCGACGCCGCTCAAGCCGGAAACGGGCAACTAAGAGCTGCGCTCTAAAACGTTCCCTTTTGGTTGGCAATCCTCCATCGTTTTCAAAACTGCCGGTTTGAAACCTCTTGCTTTCTAACCGGTAGTTACGTTGCGCAAGCGCTCTTTCGATGAAACAATTCTTCAAGCCACGTGTTGCCCTCGCTCGTGCCAAGCTGAAGTTGACCTTACTCTAATTTTGAAAAAAAAAACATTCAGTTGTCTGTGATGACACAGTCGTATTATCTCTGTGAGGCGTTCTCCGGCAACAGGCATCGCGAATCAACACGTGATCAAACCACCAATAAAGGCTGTAAGCTTCTACCTGCGATCCTTTCTTGCTTTTTACTTAATAACTGTGACAAAATCATTGGCGGCCGCTTTAGCGGTGCCAATTAAAGCTCCTTGAATTGTTTGTCTTTACAAGTATACCTTAAACGTGTCATTGAGCCCTTGGAAGCAAATCACTGCGATGCACTGAAATGCGCTGAAATGCGTAGCCTTCGGAAGCGAACGTCGAAAAAGCTTTCTCTCGTGAGACGGTTCTTCCGCGTTCACACAAGGATGGTTAACGGTACTTGTAAAAAACGCAAAGCGTAAATATTATCAGGGGGCTTTAGTGCCTGATACTCCTTAGGAATCCCTTTTTTCGCCTCTACGGGTGTTTTCGACCGTTATTCGAGGGTAAACACAATCGTTTAAGTAAGACAATAAGCTGAGTGCAACGAAAAGTTTCACAAAGTTGCCTTTAGGTGGTGCATTTACCATACTCAAATTGCGTAAGTCTCGGTTTCTCCGGAAAAATGCAAGAAAAGAAAAACATTTGTTTGTTCAATGCGTGGGAGTAAAAGAGAACCAAACAGCCGGGTTGACGCTGATATTCACATGTCCTCTACGACACACGCTGGGATCTTCAAGATGTCCTTCAGGGTAATCAGTCATCTCTCCGAAGGTTTTAAGTTTATGTGTCATGTGGTGCCATATGTGAATCGCAGCACCAAACCGACTGTTTGCTTTTGTTTTCCTCCCGTACCTCCACCCCCCCACGCCCGCCTCCCCCCCCCCCCCCCCCAACAAAAAAATAAAAAAATTTGCGGGTTTTTTTATGTACGATTTTTTAGTGTGCCATATAAAATACTTAAAGACATCTTTTCCTAAACGTTTTATTTCACTAAGCTGATAAGAATTTTTATACAATATATTTGGTTACACCCGAATACTGGTTGTGTTCCCCGTACTAAAACATGCCGCCGCGTTAGTTTTTAAGAAGTTTTGATTATTTTAAAGGGAGGGAGGGGTGTTTCCACATTGATTGCATACTTATTTTGCCCGTTTTAAATTCTGGAGCTGTGGGACTGTCCTCGGAGGCATAGCGTTACCAGCTCAGCTCTGGCAACATACCAGCAATATCCCTTTTTATCGTCCCCTGCAAGCTCGTTGGGCTTGCCAACGTCCCTCAAGGAGTAAACTTAGAGCCAGTCTTGTACACGTTACTAAAAAAAAAGTAATCGATTACAATTACTATTACTCTTGGCTAGAAAGTATTAAGATTAGATTACTTGATTACTCGACGGCAAAAGTAATTGGACATTACTTAAAGAAGTAATCGTTACTTTTCCGATTACTTTATTGTGTGAAGACACATCTTTAGCGCTCATAACAATGAACCACTTCCAACCTATATTTCACATTTGCAGAAGTATTGAAGAAGAAAAACTGGCTCCCTCTTCGTGGTCGCTGCACCTTCACAATGCGGACACAAGCATAGAATTCGTTTGAAGACGTTTAATGATTTGGGCGTTCGCCAGTGTGTGTGTGTGTGTGGGGGGGGGGGGGGGGGGGGAGCGGAGGGTATTCTAGAACTTGTTAAGCTTGAGCAAGGGTTGTCGCTCAAAGTTTGCGTCGCTCATTTTATTATTCATATGTGGATGAGCTCGCATGTTATACAAAAGAGCAGCAGCTCCAGGATTTGAAACGGATCATGTGTAGTATCCATTAGCGGAATAGATCGCCCCGACCACTTCTCAACTCGAAACATTGCTTGTCACAAAGGCCACGTAGAAGAAATAGGGAAATATTTCGACTGTCCTTGTTATATTTTGCATCCGCTTTAGGCATTCTTCGGTTCTGGTTCTCCTACGGGCTGCGATAGGTACACTCAGCAGGATTTTTTAATTTTTTTTTTATTTCTGTTTGTGTGTGCGTGACGGGGCTAGTGTGAACGAAGGACTCACAAAGCTACATTCTGCTTCCTCAAACTTCGCCCTGAATGGCCTTTGGCACGCACTGTGGCTTCCCTGGTGCTTCCCACTCCCAGTCCCAGCTCGAAAACAAAACAAAAGACGGACATTCCACAAAAATTGTACATAGAAAGAGATTGACTTCGTTTCCTACAGCTCTGTAAAAAATCTTTCTTTTTTCCGTTCGGAAAAAAAAAAGAAGCAAATTTTATTTTTGTCATCTCATAAAAAAAAAAAAAAAGGCGTGTGCCCGGGGGGGGGGGGGGGGGGGGGGGGTCCCTTGGACAAATAGTAATGGTTACAAATAATTTTATTACTTGTAATGCGTACGGTGCAAGTCTGCTTAGAGCCTTCGTGCTGCCGACCTGGCTATGACGTAATCGCACCGGACGACAAAACGTTTCCATCTAGCCGTCCTTCTGTCAACCACTGCGCAATGCCGAGGAAGGGGCAAGTTGCGTGGGAGTTGATACCTCCCCTGGGCGCGTGACGTTAACATCGTGTCCGTTACATGGGAAACCCAGGCTCAGCTACTGGCAGCGTTCCGCTTAACTTCAGACACAGCCACGGGTATAAAAGCGCACTAACGCTTGGAGCACCTAGAAAGCTTTTTCGCCTCTGCGCACAGCAAAGGTAAGACAACCTTTGTGAGCTCTACTGCTGGACGAGCGATTTGCCTCTTCTATGCGACAGAAAAATGCGTTGTATTTCATATAATATTAGGGTTATGAATGCCTTCTATTTGATCTCGTTTATATAAAAAAAAATTGCAAATGCCTTTTATTAGGTTTTTGGGTATCAATGTCCCATTTATCAAAAATTATCTCGGTACGCTCTTTTTATAAAAGCAATAAGCAACGTACCGCAGCTGGTTTATGTTTTAGACCAGGGGTGGCCAGGCTGACCCGGCCTAAGAGCCGCAAGCAGAACCACGAAACTTCCAAGAGCCGCGGGGGGTGGGGGGACAAACTTTTGTCAAATGGGCTAAAAACAAACCTCGACCTACTTTCAATCAATCCGAGTCAAAAGAACTCAAAGTGTACGTAAGATAGCAGTAGCATAAGACTACCAAACCGCAACCTGTCTTTTGATGTAAAACGCGTTCCATTTCTTCATTTGGGGAAGTGCTTGTGTGACCGGGAGGAAGGCGTGGAAGTGGAAGGGGGAGGGGGGGGGGGGGTAGGAGAGGGAGCCGCGAGCCCCACTTTAACACGCGAAGAGCCGCATGTGGCTCGCGAGCCGCAGCTTGCACCACCCATGTTTTATACAAACGTTGTTTTCCAAGATGGGGTCAAATACTTCAGGTTAAATCATTCGAGACGTGCCCCTCTGTTAAGCACCATAAGAGTGCTTCAAAAAGCTCGCACCAAAACTTTATATGTACTTTTTTAACATATTACTTGCCGTAATACCTACTGGAGGATGATCTTCGGGGAATCTTGGGAATTCTGAGATGTAATTTGTTTCTTTTAAATGCCAGTATCGAATGAAAGGACGTAAACGTTAAATATAATAGTTCGATCGCTTCTTTAATGAATCCGCCTCTCGCGTCTTCATTATAAAAGTTGTCAGCGGTTGGTAAAGAATTTGCTAAAAAAAAGGAAGCCTAATCAAAAAAGGGATCCGGTCAAAGAGCACATTTAAGAAGAAGGTGGAAAACCTGAAAGAATAAAATTATGTTTATTCTATGGTTTTATTTTACGTAGGAGCAAAACCATCCAATGAAAGTTTTCGTCTATCCGTTCCTTCCAGGTGCTTATTACTTCGTGTTCCATTTCTTCATCAAAGCAAACGTTTTCCCTTTTTTTGTTTGATACAACATTAGTCCAGTGCCTGAACACTTCGACATTCTTTTCTATTCTCTGTTTTTATGTCATCATGAGTTCGACTGTTCTGCTTGTTGCAGTGCATCTCGCTTCAACTGAACCTCCGGTAGCTACTTGGAACCATGAAGGTCCTTGCCATCTCGCTTGCCTTTTTGCTGATCACTGGTAAGCCTTGGCTTTAAAAAAGACGCATAATAATAAAAAGAGAAGTGCAACAAAACGTGGGGGGATGAAGGAGATTACTTTGTCATCCTTTTGTCTTCTCGAAGGTCTGATCAGTACATCGCTGGCTGAAAATGACGAAGGAGGAGAAAAAGAGCTTGTTCGAGTTCGTAAGTATAGTTATAAATATATATATATATATATATATATATATATATATATATATACATATACATATAAAACAACTTAACTTTGCGTGCAAATGAGATTATGTCTGTGTATGCTGTTTTTTAATATTATTCTGTTGAAATAACGAAGTGCTTACCTCGTAACTTAAACGCAATTTTCAGCTTGTCAAGGTATTCACTCCCGGCACGGTATTTCGGTGCAATAAATGTAGGAATTATTTAAATTATGAATGAAACTAGTAATTAAATCTATTTATTTATTTATTTATTGACTTGATTTATGAGCATTACGTAAGGGTGATGCATCTTACAGTTACAAAAAATATAAACAACAGAACCAACAGGTGTTCATGGCCAACAGTGCTGGTGATATGTTATTAATATTTTTTTCGTGAGAACTGTAACATTTGGAGAGAAAAAAGTTTCTAAGAGGTGATGCCGAGATTTTCTGCGCCGAATTTTTGCAACAGACGGGGGAATCATAACCCATTCTTGAAACAATTGATTTTCTTTCATCTACAGGCCGCACTGGTCACCACTGCCCACACCGGCAAGGTAAATGCCACCGTTACTGCAGGAGCAGTGGGTACAAAAGAGGCTACTGCGGCGGTTTTCGGAGAACGACCTGCATCTGTGTCGAGAAATAGGTTCCAAATCAAAGAATATCACGTCAATTCATATACCAGAAGAAAATTTACTTCCGCAGTATTTTTACTACAATTCATGCGCTGGACTCGACGAAGAAAGCTTCCATTCGACGCACGTGGAGAAGATAGCTGAATTCACGTTTGACAGCGCTGAAAAGAGAACTGTTATTTCGCGAGCTATGTGAGAGTTATAAATAAAGCAAAGAAATAATATGTGTAGTTCTTTTTACCACATATGCGGCTCGAATCGGTAAACAAACGTGTACACGTCTTGAACATGATGGTAAACCTGAGACTGGAGTAGGAAAAGGAAAAAATCAAAGGGAGACAAAAAAAAAAAAGAAAAACAGGCAACGTCTCAAATTCAGCTAAAACGTTTATATCGTGCACGCCTTATATACCAAGTGTCCAACTTTAAAACCAAGTCTCCAACTCCAGCCCCAGTCTCAGGTTTACCATCATGTTCAACTTACACCAGCTCGCATGTGCTAGGACTAATTTTTCGTTACACGCCTTCTTCGCCTTGGCATGAGCACATGAAGACCGATACCTTGATGTGACTGCAATATACAGCCGGATCTCGTTAATTCAAAATCAAGGGGAACCGAAAATTTGTTTGAATAAAGCAAAGTTTGACTTACCGGGAGTTTTCTTACGTAGACATGCATAGGATGGGACCTGCATGTTACTTTGAATTATCCGCAAGTTTGAAATAAAAGAGTTTGAATTAACGAGATTGGACTGTACTATAATCACCGACAAGGTTATAATGGCAAGGCCTCCCCAAACAGCACGCTCATTTCAGTCCGTTGTCTTCCGCCGTGCTTCGTCAGCGGGTGAATGCTCAAGGCTTACGGATGCCGAAGCACTATTGAAAGCGTGCGTTGGAGGCGGGACAACTGACGCTCCTCCCTACACTGCTCATTATGTATGTTGCTCAAAACCAGTTTTAAGAGGTAACCTAAACTAGTAGATGTGAAGTGATAACACACGATGGGATACATTAAAAGGGATACTGAACCGAAATTCGGATTTCGCAAAGTGAGGCTGCAAAAGTATTGAACCGGACGCTACAAACTCCAAAACATCACTCGTGCATCAATATTTCAAACGGATGGCCGTACTTTTTGGAAAAGAAGGGCGCGATCAAGCGAGTTCTTTGACGTAACTGTGCTCCAGGAGAATTTGAGAATGAGGAGGAGCGGCCTCGCTTCTCTCCTCCTCGCTTCGGTTCACATGCTCCACGGGACGTGGCGAGGAGGAAAGGGAATGGGAATCGTGACGTGCCTTTTCTCGTCGGCCTTGTCGGCCGGGCTCAGTCGCGCACTTCTTTCCCGAAAAATACGGCGATCCGTTAGATATATCGCCGTATGAGTGATATTTTTGGTTTTGCAGCTTCCCGTCTATCCACCCGGCCTTGTTTAGTGAGCTCGAAATTTCGGTCCAGTATCCCATTAATTAAAAAAAAAAAGAAATCGGTCTGTTTTTAGGTGCTACACTGCAGACTATAGTACTCCGAAACGCGACAGCATATCGACGTTTCTTTGATGAAGGCAATATTGCGCCGATTATATTGGAACGAAGATCGTTCGCCCACTCAGCTCTTGGTCGCTATGGCACAAAACCACCTTGATTCTTTTCTTATAGCTAAATGTTGCTCTCTTTTTTCCGACGTCTGATAGGCTAACGTCTGTTCAGCGATGTCTCTCTTCAGTTCATTCCTTTTTTTTTTTTTTTGAGTGTCGTCGTGAAGACTTTCAGAAAGCGTATGTCTTCTATCATAGGATGGATGAATGAATGAATGAAAGCCCTTTGTATTGAGCGGTAGTTTGCGGCACCTAGCCTAGAACCATTCACACTCTTCCGCTTTATTAAAGTTGCGTACATATTTTGTCTCGTTGTTTAATTATCTACCCCTAGCACTTACTCGCGTATTATCAGGCTTCTTTACCAAACTTTAGACTTTCCGTTTGCGCTTGTAATCATTATATTCCTCCGTTCTTCCATACTCGCCAGCAAGATCAAGTTCTCTGTCCCAGATCGGCTAATCGGCTACCTTTTTAGGAAGGGCAGAGGTTCCAAGCCCCCCTGCCAATCAACACCGCAAACAGTTTTGTTGTCCGTGTGTCCGCGCTTTGTCGTCTACGTGTCCGCGCGCTATATTCTGGAGCTGCGCCCCTCACTGATTTTTCTTTCCTTTTTTTGTTGTTGTTTAGCTTCCTTTTTTATTTATGGACAAAAATATACCCAAATGATCACTTACATCAGTGATTATTATACCAGATTTAGAATCTCACTTATTGTAGGTTGTAATAAAAAGATACAGTAGTGTTGATGATTTATTTATTTATTCATGGTACCTTAAAGGCCCAATTAAGGGAATTACATGGAGGGGGGGGGGGGTACATTCAGGGTAAGTATCAATCAGAACAAAAAAAATAGGAACAAAGTCAATAAAAAAAATAACACACACACACACACACACACACACACACACGCACACACATACGAGAATTACCACATTCAGTGGTAATTCTCGTTGGAGCCGTTATCATATTCGCAGATCCGCCTGTTTGGATCAGTGCGTCGAATAGCATTGATTTGTTGTCTCAAGTAGCATGTTAATATTAAAGTCACCTCCCAGAATTATGTTTTATTTTTATCGCAAACTCTAAAACATAATCGAAATAAGCAGAAAAAGACATACACTTCCACTTGGTGGACGTTAACACACTGCTATATTACTCTGCCTTATCAATAACGACGACATCTCGTAGTCTTTATCAATGTAACAGTAATCTGTAATCATTTCACAGGAACTTTCTGCCTTAATCATGCTTGCTACGCCCCAGCCTCGGCTTTCTGTGCGGTTTAAAAAGTAAAAGTCATATATTGGTTATTTTACAACGTAGTGTCGATGATTCTAAGAACGCGAACCACTTCTTAAAGGACACATGCAAAGGAAGAAAACATTTTTTTAAACGGCTTAGATGGAAAAAGCACGCCATAAAACGATTTTACAACGAAGAAAAAAAATTTTTAGAGCTATATTTACGGCGCAAAACGAATTTGTAGTTGGCGCCCGCGGGCACCGCGGAAAAGCGGTTCGTATTTATCACGTGATTGGTCTTTATTTATCACGTGGTGCTTGCGCTCTTTCGGAAGCTTCCTCTGGCCTCTAAAAGTAACTTATTCATCTTTGTTTGAAATATAAGAAAAAACCAAGACGAATAAGGAACTTTTAGAGCCCAAAGGAAACTCCTGAAAAAGCGCAAGCAAACGTGATAGACCTGTGCGCCTGTCAGACGACGGCGGCGGCGCCCCGAAGCAGACGAACTTGTGCGGCGGCGGCGACGGCGGCGTGGAGAAACGCGTTGAAGCGGCGTTCGCACAACGCTCAGCGTGCGGCGGCGACGCAGCGCGGCGGCGCGCGGGCCTACCACGTGACCAGCGGCGGCTCCCGCGAGCGCCAACTACAAATTCGTATGGCGCCGTAAATATAGCTCTAAAAATTTTGTTTCTTCGTTGTAAAATCGTTTTATGACATCCTTTTTCCATCCAAGCTGTCTAAAAAAAAATGTTTTTTTCCTTTGCATGTGTCCTTTAACGGCAGCCACGAGCGAGAGTTTGATGTTTTGTACAGCCCGCCGGTACAGTCCAAAGATGGAGAGCGGCCACCTCCCAGTTTGTCATCTGCTATACTCTGTTTCACCTTATGATGTACCGCAGGAAAGGCTGCAAGCGCGACCTCCTTGCTCTAGGGCACATCTCGGCAGCACAAGCTCTCGTCTCTTAAGAGTAGCTCCCAACGCTATCAGCTCGCTCTTATAGCCATGTCTGCGGTACAACCAGACTTGTATGTAATCCGTTACAAGTAACGAAATCACTTGTAATCGCTTACATTTATCAGTAATTTAGTAACGGAATAATTCCATATTTTCTAGAGTAATTTTAAAGTAATTCCCTTACATTTTTCACTTAACGGATTCCTTGTAAAACGTTACATTTTTTAGGACCCCCCCTATAAAGAAGGGTTGTTGTTATTTTGGGAAAGTCGAGCGCAGTGACACTGTCACGCGAATTGAGCAGCACAAAGGGAGGCTTGGGACTCCTCAGTTCCGCAAAGCCTTTTTTTTTTTTTTTTTTGCAAAGCCAAGTTTTTGACTCCATTTATTTAGACCCGCACAACAGCGTCAAAAAATCCGAATACGGATTTCTACAAAAAAAAAAAAAAAAAGCGGGGGGGGGGGGGGGGGGGAGGGCAAGTTGCACCACTTTTTTTAGTCCCTTTGTTTTTTTCTTTGCGATCGAAGACGGGAGAGGAGGACACCAAGTGATTGTGTGCTTCTTCGAGAAGCTCGGGGTGGTAAGCGCACAGACAAGAGTCAACAATGTCCTTCTCGGACAACGCTCCGACTACCCAAAAATCCGCTAAGAGAGATGTGATAATACGTGAAGGTGTTATTACCACAAGCATCCTCGTTCGTTGTTGCACACTTATCATTTTCTCTTAGAAAACTGGATGTATATTTTCTGTCTTTTTCACCTCATTTGACCCTATTTTAAAAGCTACTTACTTTTTTCTAGTCCAACTTCTAGGGTTGGCCCACTTCATTTACGAATTTTAGTCAGATTATCTGCGCCTCAGTCATCCTTCTTGTGAGTCAGCTTTTTGCGAGAACTTGCGAAAATGGTAATAGTCTTCCTTTCTTGTTCTTCTTGTTTTTATCCCAGCAGGACGCTATCAAGCAGATAGTTTTACAAATAAAACATAATGGTGGCTGACGTAGACTTGCTATTCTGGGCTTGAGGAGAGCGTGAAACTCGTCAGTGGGGTGATGCTTGGGTGATGGTGCGGCTTAGCTCCCTGCCGTTCGCTGCCCGTGGCATCAGCGGAGGTCTATCTGGAAAACACCGGAGTAAACTGCAGTCGGTTCGTGCTCCGTGCGTTTTTGAACGGCACCAAGAAAGGTCCACACGGCAAACGTGCGTGTACATTT